ATTTTACAAATATATTATTCAACAAGACAATCATTTTTTTATTATAAATGATAAATACTACTATTTAATATTAATTAATTTCTATCAAAATTATTATGCTTGCACATACAGTAAAACCTCTATAAATTAATAACGACAATCAAAATCGAATATCAAGCTTTCATGATTCACTTTGGCCTTAAAGGTATGATTGAGGGTCATGCAAGTATTATCCTCGGCTTTCGTCTTATCTACTTCGGAAGTAATTAAATTGAACCGAAATATCAAAGGAGTGGTGATCAGCCACAAATTTAGTTTTTGCTTTTGCTTTTTTAATCGAATGTTTGGCCAGAAAATCAGTTCAACAAGATGCATTCGCATAAAGAAAACTGCTCTACATGCCGAACTGATTTTCCAAAATAAAAATTTATTAAATTTACAGCTGTACCTGGAGGTTGCATACGTACTCAAGTCGGGATCAAGCCGTTCGCAGTTCTTCACAATTATTAGATGAGTGTTGTCACTTAGGGGCCAAGCCGACCTTTATTGATAAAACAAAAAAAAACTAAAAGCCGCGAGATTCTTGCCGAATCTACTCCGTTTATTTTGTGTCTTCGAGTGCTTTTGCCGCGAAGAGTCGGATCTTGCGTTCGCTGATGAAGCAAGATCTTGCCATTTGCTGATTGTCGCAGAGTGTGAAGATGCCAACCGAGGTAGCAAACTTCATGCATTGATGATAGGCCGACACGATGGCTTTCATCTCATGGATCCATGGCGTGCCAAGTATGACATTATAGATTGCTGGTTTATCCATGACGGTGAATTTGACAATTTTTGTAACTCCGCCGATGTAAACTGTTAGGCGTGTGGTGCCGAGGCTGAAGAAGGACTCGCTGGCAAAGCCAGTAAGTGGCTTTGGTGCTGTCTTGATGTCTTTATCCTGGAGTCCCATCTTGGTTAAGGTATCTTTGAAGATGATATTAACCGTGCTGCCGGTGTCCACCAGTATTTTGGTCACTTCGCTATCGTGGATATGTAGCTCGACAACCGGCGGGTCGTTGTGCGGGGTGTGTAACCCATGCATATCCTTCGACGTGAACGTGATTGTTAGAGGTAATCCACAGGCTGAGGAACCTTTTGCGAGGTAATCGCTTTTCGTCCATACTCTCTGATGGCGCGAACCGAGTCATCGCAGTCGGGAAGGCCTCCCATGATCATGTTAACCCGTCGCTTGGGCGGAGGGGGTGGATTGTCATGCTCGATGTCGTCCTTTTCGTGCTATGTTCCCTTTTCTTTATTTTTTTCTTCCTGCTTCTTCTCGGGTGAACGACTTCGGTGCCTTCCTCTAAAGCTGCTTTGGCCGCTGCTTTTGCTTTGAACTCGGCGATCCTTGCTGGAGGAACTTTGGCGCAAGTCTTCTGAGTTCGTTCTCCGCTGACGTCGATCTTGCCTTCCTTGTATTTTTCGTACAACGTATTTTGAGGTGCTGACATGCCGAAGTAGCATGTCCTGTTTACCCATGGAAGGAGCAGTAGAGATCGTGGTTATCGTCCCTGTCATCAAAATTTCTCGGAGGATTGCTGCGGGTCCACTTATTCCAGGGCTTCTCTCCGGTAGCTACGATGGTGTGGGAGGATTGCTTGCCTTTACTCGCCAAATCCTTGTCCCAAGAAGTGCTTGCCACGTCCATGCCGTGCTTCTTAGCGTAGAAAGTTCTTTCTTCTTCCATTCGTATGAAAGTTTGAGATCGGTGGAGTGCGTCCTCTATGGTGTCGGGTGTCCTTTGGGTTCTTCTATAAATCTTCTTTGAAAGAGGATCCGAACAATAGACCATTCATAAGTGCCTCAATGGCCAGAGCTTGCGAGATCTGGCCGTACGCCGCGGCGGCGTCCTTGAATTTCTCAATGAAATCCCGTAGTGGTTGGTCGCGTTCCTATATTAGAGTGAAAAGGTTGACCGTCATCTTCATGATAAACATAGAGTAGTGCTTTATAAAGGCGTGGGATAAATCCTTGAAGAATTTGATCGATGCCGGTGGGAGGTTGGAGAACCACTTGAGAGTGTCTTTCCTGAGGTGTTCCACGAAGGTCTGATAGTGATTAGCTTTGCGTTCGAAGTCGGTTTCGAACCGTTGCTTCTTCATAGCGACTTTGAACCCGGTCAGCCATAGAATTGGGTCTTATGTCCCGTTGTAGTATGGAAGCTTCAATTTGATTGCCGCGCCGAGACGAACGTCGGTGATCCTCGAGGCGAATGAGTTGCGTCCAGTATCTGACAGAATTGCTGAGATCTCGAGTGCCGAACTGGTGGCGCGATGGGCTTGAGATCCGATCGCGTTGATTCGCTGATACAGCTTTACGATCTCGGAATTTAGTTCATCGGTTGGCTCGTAGTTACCTGGTGCTGTGTTCTGAATGTTGTCGCCTTCTAGTGTTTCGAAAACCAGTCACCATCCGAGTGGTGCAGATCTTGCTGTAGTCGCGGCTGCCAAAGTATTGAGCTGCTCGTCGTACTTCATCTGTTGAGCTTGAAGAGTGTCCAACTTAGACACCAGGCTTTGTGTGAGTGGGAGTAAGGCGGCTTGGATCGCTGCAGCGAGATCGGTAGCGAGGACAGGGGCCGGAGGCGCTCCCGCGGGTGGTGGGATCACGACGGTAGGGTTGCCGTGTTCATCAAGAGCATGTGTATCAGTATGCGTGGTGGTGTCTTCCACGTTGAGAGTGAGGTTGCTGTTGCCAGACGGAAGGCTCATCGGTTCGGATCTTCTGTTGCTAGTTGCAAGAATTTATTCTCCTAGTCCCCACAGACGACGCCAATTGTTGAACTAGAAAATCACCACTAGGGATTTGATTAACAATTGTCGATTTTGGAGAATAAGATCTTTATTGATAGCTCAAAGATGAAGCGATTACAAGAGATAGCTTGACCGAGAAGTTATGTCGAAGTGACAAGAAAGTGTTTGCGAAGTAAACTAGAAGGCGTTGGAGTTATTGGTTTTAGCTCTGCTGCTCTCTAGGTTGTATCAGTTGTCTTTCTTATGCGCCGGGGTCTCCTTATTTATAGAAATAAGGAGTCGGTTGCTCCGAGCTCCTTTTCTTTTTCTTCTTTGGTGAATATTTTCTTATTTGCGATATGAAAATATCCCTTGTTCTCCGAAGAATATGGAAATTCTCCTTTATCTTTGATAATTCCTTTGAGCCGATTCGATTCTTCGGGAGTTTCAAGATTATCTTCGAGGTTTTCTTTTTTAGAGCTACGTCGGCGTAATCTTTCTGATCTTGATGGGCTTAGAATATTACTAAAGAAAGTCTTTTAAGAAATGTGCTCATTTCCCCTCTTACAGGAACCCAACCTTACATAGTATTTCATTTGTTGAACATGGCAGGGGTTAGGTGGGGCGGATCTGACCCAGATGATAGGGATACTGTCTTGGTCAGTTCAGTTATTTTTAGAGATAATTAGAAAATAATTTATTTTTTATTTATATTTTAGCAAAACATATAAAAAATTTGCAAACAGTGCGGTTTTTTTATTACAATAAGCTCTAAGATTTTAAAAGATAATTGTGGGTTTGTGATAGTATTTTTGTAGTTTTTAAGTTTGTTATGTGCAAAAAAAAATTAATCAATTTGCAAATTTATGATATATGAGATTATTTTGCCAAACAACTCATTAGAAAAGATTAATTTTCTGATTTGCTTTTATTTTTCATCAAATATTCTTTATTTTTTCTATTACGATAAGCAAAGAACTCGATTTGGTGTAATTCTCAAGTAATTTAAAGTGACTTATAATAATTGATATAACTATTAATGAATGTCGATCGATTTTTTTAGCGGTTTAGATTTGGATAGTTTTAGATTTTTTGGGTGATTAGATTTTATTTTCTATTATTTAAAATATTTTTAACTTTTTACAGATTTTAAAATATTTTTCAAATCTTTCAGGTAATACTAATCTAGTTGACTACATAGCATACACTCTTATCTATTGTACATTTTGAATACACTCCATTAATTAGAAGCAAAAAATAATCATCTATTCATAACTTTTTAAGGGCAATTCTCATATTTACCATCAAAACAAATATAAAAGAGAAACTAAAAATTTTCCTTCTTCTAACTTTTTTCATTTGATCTTTCCGATTTTGTCTTTCAGGAAGGTCTTCTTAACTGTTTGTTTTTTCAATGTTTCGTGATCTTTTAGGAAGGTCTTCCAGAATATTAAAATCCAACATCGTTCCATAAAATTTAGGAAAACTTTCCTAATTCAGGAAGGACATCCTATTTTTTAGGAACGTCTTCATAAATGTATATGATCGTTTCCTAAATGAATTTATAATTTATTTAAGTGTATACTTTTCTATGATTCAGGAAAGCTTTTTTTTTTGTTTCAGACGATTTAGGAAAGTTTTCCTAAAAATTTTAAAATCCCAAATATATTTAGGACGGGCTTCGAGAGTATTTAGGTAAGATTCCTAAAGGTTATTCAGAACCAAATCATACACAAAATCTGTAATTATTTTTAAGTTTGAAAACCTAATCACCCAATCACCACATATCTCGCTGATATATGACTCATCCCCTCTCTGACTCAGTTTTTCCAGCCAGGTTGGAGTCCTCTATGCAGGATCTGTTAAATGTAGTAAACTTTATGGTGGTAGAGAAGAACAAACATAAAATCTGAAATCAGATCTGAAACGATTTATTTCTTCGATATCAATCCCAAAAATAGAATCACAATTGACAAAACAGTCGTGTTGGATCTCATCACCGGAAACTGTCATTCAAATTTATCACTGGTTATCGGGGGCGAAGAGAGATCGAAAGAGCAATGAGAAGAGAGAAAAAAAGGAAAGAATGAGAAGAAGTTTTCGGGAGGGGAAGATAAAAGTTAAGAGAACCAAAAAAAAGATAAAAAAAAAGATATAGGACAAAAGAAAAAAATAAATGATTAAAATTTATTCAACTAAGAGCAGTATAGTCATTATAGTAGTCAAATATGTTATAGATGAAAGATATTTAGAATGTGTATTATTATTGAAAAAAAAACTAATTTTTATGTTATTGGAAAAAGATTCTTATTTTTTATTTAAATTTAAATTTTTATCGAGTTTACAAATAGGTCAATTATTTTATCGATATATCTACTCTTTTATGTTTCCCATTCCTCTAATCTTCGTCCTGCAATTTCTCATATAAACTATGTTAGTTCATTTATACACAACATAATAAAAATATATACATATGATATGAGTATGGTTATTTCAAATGTAAATATTTAAGTTTGCATTTGTACTTAAGTTGAAATCTTTTTCTCGAACCATAACATTTTTATTTATTAAAGATTTTTGCACACACGAAAATACAATATGACTTGTGATGTTGAGTTTTCAACAAATGTTCGATAGACAAATCTCTAAAAACCAACTATAATAGTTTAACATTTAAACACAAGTTAACAAACACACGAAAAAATTCAGACTAAACAAAATAAATGGAGAAAGTATTACTCTGATTGGTGATATGGAACATTAGGTGGTTTGTGGCATTTGCGGTTACATGCATCTTTGCATTCTTCTACAGGTTTAAGGAGTAGTAGGCACTTGAGCAAGCAAATGTCCATGCATCGTCTTTCATCTGCTGTTATCATGGCCGCCATCACTATTGTCACCACCATCATCAATACAATGCAATTTTTTATACCCATCTTTTCAAAGACTTTTATGTTTTGTTGTTGTGTATTATATTTTTTGTACATCAATTATAAGTTTGTATGTATATATATACATACAAAAGGTAGTTAATTAACTTAAATTGAATAATACATTTAATAAGAAGTCTTAAAAATCTATTTGGGGTAATGCATTTAATAGTCCTTAAATTGGATAATACATTTAATAAGAAGTCTTAAAAATCTATTTTGGGTAATGCATTTAATAGTCCTTAAATTGGATAATACATTTAATAAGAAGTCTTAAAAAACTATTTTGGGTAATGCATTTAATAGTCCTTAAATTGGTAATTCATTTTTTTTTGAAAGACTATTTTACACCAAATCTAGTTCTTTTTAATAATCATTTGGTGACATTTTTCATAAATAGATAATACATTTGGTTGCATGTGCTGTTGAAAAAAATATGATATTATGTAAAACTAAAACAGCATATCCTCTATAAATTGAAAATATAGTTTAATGAAAAATACTGATTTGTTTTAATTTTATTGGTTAGTAGTTTAGTTTGAGCAAGTTTAAATATGACGTGTAATAAAGATATAATTGTGACATGTCAATTTTTTGTATATATGGCTTGTGCCATGATATTATTTAATGTATATATATATAATTTGATTTTAAATTTTTGATACAAAATTTAAGTACTAAATTTTTTGGAAGAAAATTTGAGAAATATGGAAAAATTTGCGAAATCAGATTTTTGGAGGGAAAATTTCTTAATTTTCATTATCATCTCGTCTTGTTTCACTACAATAAAAGAATAAACTAGATTGTGGACCCGCGCACTTGCACGGCTTTTTTTATAAAATATTTTTGGACGATAGCAAAAATTGATTTATATTAAATTTTTGTTCAAAAACAAATTAAGTATATTATTAAATCCAAAATTGTCGCCCAAGCTGAATTTTTTGTTATAATATATAAACTTTTTTTACATTTTTGGCTTTATGTTCTTAAAATTATTTAGGCTTGATTTTATAAAAAAAAAGATTTTGGTTAGTAGATTTTCTGTTAAGTTTTGTAACAAATATTTTAAAATATTATGTTTTATAAATCAAGAGAGATTTCATTTGTTTGTAATTAAGATTTCAATATTTACTTAGGTTTTGTTTATTTTTGCATTCCGATACCTATTTGGATACAAATGCTCAAATATTATTTTTAAAACAGTATATGGATGTTGTATCTCGATACAAAATCTATAATATCTCAAAATTTGTATATTTAGGATACTAAAAAATAGAGTTCGGATGCAGCATTTGAATCTCAAAAATTAAAAGGCTAAAACACTTTTTAATTTAAACCACAAAATCAAGTTTTTTTGTCAAAACCATAAAATAAGAGTTTTCCAATCAAAATAAAAAGCTATATTTTCCCGCAAATTCGTAAAATTACGTTGTTGTACAAAAATCGGGAATTCCCGTAGAAACTGTAAATAGTATTTTCCATCAAACCGTATTTTTCTGCCAAAACTGGAAACCTATATTTTTTAACAAAATCAAAAATTATGTTTCCCCCAACACCATAAAATCGTATTCTGTGAACAAATTTGTAAAATTATGTGTTTTTGTTAAATCTGCAAAATTGTGTTTCTCGTTAAACCCGTAAACCTACATTTTCAATAAAATCCATAAAACCACATTTTTCCATCAAAACCTATAAAAACCCGCTAAAACCTCGCAAAATCATGTTTACCGTCAAATCCACAAACCTGTGTTTTTCCATAAAATTGTAAAATCCGTAAAATCGTGTTTTACGACCAAATTTCTAAACTCATATGTTTCTGTCAAACCTGCAAAATCGAGTTTTCAAATGCACAAATCCGTATTTTCCCATATAACTACATATACCCGCTAAAATCTGTAAAATCCATAAAATCTGCAAATTGTGTTATTCGCATTCTGCAAACCCGTGTTTTCCTGTAATTCCTCTAAATCTGCGAAATCATTATTATGACCAAATTTATAAAATCACGTGTTTCTGCTAAATCTACAAAAGCACATTTCTTGTCAAACCGGTATTTTCTCGTAAAAATATATTTTCTGCTAAAACTTATAAAATCCTCTAAAATTTATAAAACTTGAAAATCTACAAAATTGTTTTTGTCAAATTCTCAAACCCATGATTTCCCGCAAAAAAAAAATCATTAACAAACCAAGAAAAAAATGATTTACATAATATTTTTTCATAGTATGTATATATGTAACCAAAAAATAATGATTACATAAATTATCACATTTAGTAAATATCATAATAGCTTTTAGATATTTTAAAGTGCTGATTTTCATTTAATATTATAAAAAATTGATTATAATATAATATATATAATTATATTAGTTATTCATGCTATATATATGTGGAAATTATGTTAAGATATTATGGAAGATTTTAAAATAATTTCGAAATAAATTTATTTAAATTTTATTAGTAGTAGATATAGTTTATTGATATTATCTGTTAACAAACTAATATAATTTAATTTTATTTAATGTATTTGTTAACAGTTTATTAATATGACAAAATTACCCTTAATGAAATGATTAGACTTTATAGTGAGTCCAATGATACATTTAGTAAATACCATGGTAACTTTTGGACATTTCAATTAATGATTCTCTTTTAATAGTATAGATTTTATACTATATTTGAATATATTTTAATTATATAGCGAGAATTAGAAATCAGAAACTATAATAAGATGAAAAAGATATGAATAAAAAGTATAAGATAAAGAAGACGAAAAATAAAAAAAAAATATTTTCTTACTTTATATATTTTCTTAAAGTATTTTGAGTTTTATGTATATTTTATTTTTTGCTATATACAATTTTTAAAACTCATTCAAACATTTTTCACAAACTAAAATATTTTACAAATATATTATTCAACAAGACAATCACTTTTTTATTATAAATGATAAATACTAATATTTAATATTAATTAATTTCTATCAAAATTCTTATGCTTGCACATACATCAGAGTCAATCACCTTGTTATCAAATAAAATAAAATATTTTTTTTTACTTCGAGTGATTTTACAATTAACTTTATACAATTTGGCTATTTACTAACCATACTCCTAATAACGTAATGTACAACTTGAAGTCACAGAATCAGTAAAAATAATTACTATTGTATCTTATTTGTGGCTTATTTCTTTTGCTATGAGGCCATTAGAATTTTCTAGGATTCTCATCTCACATCTGTAGGCGGAAGACGACGTGGAGAAGAGATCAAATCCACACGCATTTGGAATTGCAGTCCGATTTATGAATCAGACAGACTCTGACGAAGATTGGTGTTCTCGGTTAAGGCTAATGGTAAATACTAAGTATCATAGTAGAATGATTCTTCATACTTAAATTTCATCTCCTTGTGAATAGATTTATGAACATGTACATATACAGCAATAGGTGTATAAAAACATAGCACCGACACTCGTAAAGTAATCAACATTGTAAACAATAGTCAAATATTACAGGAAATTCAAACAACAGATTGTTGTTAAAAGTCTCCAAAACATCATCAACATGGAAGCTTCACCTTCATTTCTTAGCCTGTAAAAGGTTAGAGTCAGTATATCCGTTATCTGTTAGAGAAACTATAGGCTCCACGTGATCAGTTTTATATTTGTCCACAAGTTACGAAGATAGGTTCCGGTATCCTAAGATATATATAAGAAAGATTTGAATCTGGTTTGGTGCAACAGTAAGAACACAGTGAGTACCTTAAGACGAGAAGAACGGCGAACGGAAGACGTGGGTACAGGAGACGGGAGTGGTGAATCACTAGATCTTTTGTGTAGCCGATTCACTTGAACCTTGGATCCCTTGTTCTCTGGAGTTGACATGTTTGTATCAGTGGTAAATGATATAGCTGGAGCTGAAGCAGATATGATGGAAGTTTCATGTTGGAGATTCTCTGAATGTGTTGGCAACTCTGAGAAGTCACACAAAGAACACAAGTCTCGGTCACATTCAACTTACACATCGAAAACTACATGTCTGATTTTTGGTGATAGAAAGTGAGAGTGGGTGTATTTACCAGATAAGGTGGCTTTCAGAAACTTAACCCTCACCAGACGAACAAATCCGAAAAGGTCATTGGTTTTATTCAATTCCTGAACCATCTCTTCGATGTCATCCAACTGCGGGTTGCAATCCATTACTGATGATCATATAAGACGAAGATTGTACACAGCTCTTGTTACTAAACTCTTTGTAAACACTAAAATGTAGCTGATGCTTGCTTCAATAAGATATATTTAAACTTACGTGTGTAGATGTCATTTCCATAGTGAACCGTGAATGAAAACTCGCTTGTGGGCCTTTTTGCATCAATGTAGGTGAATGTGAATTTAACTCCTGTAAGTGAAGTAAAGCAACAAAATCTTCAGTGGTCAAACTTTAATAATAATAAAGAACAATTGATTGTTACAAAATCCAAGTTTCTCTCATTACCATGTCCAGCTTCGACGTGAAAGCCAAGAGCCTGATTGTACCAAGAGATGGCTTCCTGGATATCTGCTTTTCCTTCAGTGACTTTACCAGCATTTTCCTTGGATACTGATAAGGCTTTATTGGATGAATGAAGTATAAATATGTTAGCTTCGTTTCCAGTGAATCATGTGAAACTAACTAAAACTGAAATAAGCAGTGTATTTTTTTTTTTTTCATAGATCAACACTTTACAAAGTCTATTATTATGAGGCTGATTCATGAAAACTACAATGCACACAATACACAGTGATGAAATAAACCAGACAAGCTAACAACAATACCTTGCAATTGTTGTGAGATAACTTTGGCATGTTCTTCCCTCTTTGACTTTTGTAATTGCAGAGTTCTTCTAAGCACTTGGATTCGAGATTGTGTTGCAGAAATGGAATCCCTTAGCCCCATTTGCCTTGCCTCATTACGGGTTTTCTCTAAACATCAAAATATATATATAAAAAAAAAGATAAAGATTCTAATTTTTTTTTATTATAAGCAAAAATACAACACCAAGGAGATACAATTTCAATGAGAATCTTATGTTTAAACATCTTTTTCAGAAATTATGGGGCTATGAAACCAGAGAAGTTTAGGATCTGAAGAATCTAGCAATTATTTCCAGATCTAGACTTCAAAGTTGAAAGCTTTTGGGTAATGGAAGTGAAGTTGATACCTGCCAACACTTTCACGAGCAAATCCTCTGCGTCTCTCAGCTCCGCTTTCAAATTCGCTAGTTCCACTATAAAATCAAAGACAAATAACAGAGAATCCCTCAATTTCACCACTCTAATTCTCAAACAAAACCCTAATTTCACAGAGACAGAACCTAAACTGAGTGTGTAGAAATTCACGATCTGGGTCATACGAAACTGAATCCTACTATGCGAATTTCGACCTAACCTTGGCTTTGTGCAGTGGCTTTAGCTCGTTCCAGTACAGAGTCCATCGATCTCTGGAACGGAGAAGCGATGAAGGAATCGATTTTAAGCCGCTGCTCAGTTATATCTTTCTCACACATGAGTCCCAGAGACGCCATCGTCTTCTTCGCTGTATCACCACCTCCGACGTCGCTAATCTGCTCCATCACAAGAGAGACGAGAGACCCTTCGGAAAAATCAATCCAAGTTTAGCCCGCCATTTGATTCGAGTTTCGAAATGCTTTCACGACGCTTTACCACGTGATGAGAGGAGAACTTGAAACGACACAGTACCAATCCCAAATTTTATTGGGCTCGTTACTATATCCCTAATGGGTATTCTAAGACAGGCCCAGCATAGATTTATTTTTGGTTATTGGTTTTCGTTTACCGAAAGTAGCCTGGCCATCCGGATATTCAGGTCGACAGAGTAGATTGATTGTGACGACAAAGTCATTTAGAGAAGAGGAAGAGGAGAGGTGGAGAAGATAAATTAATTGTGTGTTTTAATTTTGGGTAACTGTCAAAATCGAAATTAAACTGATACTTACCGTTTTCAAATTCAAAAATCATCAAATAAATATTTAATAACTGAACCAATCCGAACCAGTTATTTCGAGTCTGTTCCGGTTCAGGTTTTTGGGCTCAAGTTTTTTTCTCAGGGTTAACCGAAAGTTCAAAATTAGTTTTTTTTAATATCTACCAGTATTAAGAAAAAAGCATCACAATATATAGGATTCCCACCGCCATCATTCATCACCTATCTGTGAGTCGGTGTCTCCTTAAAATCTATATTATATAAGAGTTCTTTTCAATCTACTATGACTCTACGGATCTTTTACATGTCTGGATTTCAAGAACCTCTCGCTAGGTTATCGGCAAAGATTTATCTGGTGTAGTGTAGCTCTCGGTTTGTGTGGAAGAATCTCCTGTTTTGGGATTACGACTCCTCTAAGATACTACCACCATACAGATTCGAAAGACATATATTCCCCCTGTAATAAAGCGTTTTTTTTTTATCTCAGATCTCAAGTTTCTTCATCTAATGGGATTGCTACGTATTGAATGGTTTTGATCTAATTTGACAGAGCTGGTCGAAAGAGCGATGGCAGCTCCTATGTTAAGGCGACATGGAAGGTGATCTCTAAAGCCTTAGTGTTCTCGTGTTCACGATGGCAGATCCGGACAACCTACATTAAGTTACTGTGGGAAAGTTCAGGTTCTCTCTCTTAACCATTATTCACATATGTGCTTGGGAGAACTGTTGGTTGTTCTCTTTCGCTTGTCGGTGTTTCTGGATGGTGGTGGTTCATGTATCTCTGATTATCAGAAGTAGCTATTAGAAGGATTCTAGCTTTGTGCTACAATTCATTGTTTTCTTGATTCCGCAATTCGATCTACCCATTCATTAGGTTTTTATGGGCTGGATTCTGAGATAGCTGATCATCCTTTGTCTACATTGCTGGTGGTTGTCGATGGTGCCTCTGTATTCAGGAATTGCTTTCGGAAAGTGTCTAGCTATTTGCTATGTTGGTTCACGTTTCACTGCATATCGAGCTGGCCTACTTGTTACTTTTTAGTGGGTGTTTCCTCGGTACTTGTAAAACTATTGGGAGAGTGGTGCTAGAACTTTGACAATTGAAAGGTGAGTATTAGTTCCCAAACACTCCCTTATACCTAATGGGGGACCTCGACGGCTTGATCTGCGTCTCTCGTTTATTTTAGTTTAAGAAAAGAGAGAGATTGCCTTGGTACAAAGTTACTTTGGGGTTAAGATCCTCGCTCTCATAATCACATATTTTGCTTCTATATCTTGGTGATCTGTTTTGTTGTTTCTAGAGCCGGTCATGAACTTGGAGTTATGTATCTGGTTTTACCATTTGCTCCTGGTAGAATTTTGGTCTTTTTAGCTATGTGGTACGAGTTCTGCGTATTAGAAAATATGAAAAAGATTTCTTAAATACTAAGGAGCTTCGTAGATTTATATCCTTCTACATGAAAACTTATGAATATTAAAGATGACCTTTTTTGGTTTACAGAATGCAAGTTGTCTTCAGTTTCAGAAATAGCCTATTGAAAGAATATGAATGCAATTTCATAAAATTGTCAGGATGCATATGCTTATATGACTAAACAACACTTTTGAGAGCTACATTGCTGTTTCTCTCCTTCCTTTTTGAAACAAAAAAAATTCGTATGCCATGATGCAAGATGTGCAACTTTCTTATGGGTATAATAAATTGTTCACTTGTAGAACCAAAGGGTACAAGCAGTGGACTAGCACTTGTTTACATGGATTCTTTTAATGTTAAAATTTTGTTCTCAAATAATCAAATGATAGATATCGAAGCATTGTTAGGAGGACAAAAGTTTTTATGACATTTGTATATGGCGATCTGGTCTTTAAGTACCACAATTTAGTATGAGAACGGATTACATGGATCAGCACTATGAGATCAGTTCCTTGGTTTATGATTGGAGACTTTAATGAGATTACCGGCTATCATGAAAAGAGAGGAGGTAGGAAGCACCCAAATGCATCCTTCATTCCTTTTAATACAATACTTTAAAACTGTGGTATATTAGAATTCTTGATAAAAGGTAACTCCTTCTCTTGGCTTGGTAATAGAAGGAGTGGTAGAGTCCAATGTAAGCTAGATAGAGCTATAGGTAATGAATATTGGCACCACAGGTTTTCCCACACGTCTGTGGAGTATATGAGATTATGAGGCTCTGACCATCAGCCGGTTCTGGCTTGTATTCTATCGCGAAAGGGTATGGTTAAGAGAAAATACAAATTTGACAAGAGATGGCTAGGAAAAGAAGGCTTACTAGAGATAATCATCGAGGGCTGGGGAACCTCTAACGTCTCAAGAACACCAGAGCTGTACGCCAGCATTGGGAATTGTCAAAAGCATTATCAACCTGGAGACGCCTTAACCCATCAAATTCGATTAAATAGATTGAGAAGATAAAAGAGAAGCTGGAAATTGCACAACAAGAGCAGAGGTGTTGTCAGCTAAATCTTCAGGTCACGAAGGGTGTCTTCACATCAGTCATCCCACTGAAAATGTTTGTTGCCTCGAAGGAGTTGGTAGAACGGAAGACATTTATCTATTAATTGGGAGATGAAGTGATTGAGTGAGGCAATGCGGCCGGTGAGACGTTGTACTTTGCGTGTGTTCTTCGGGGAGGGTAGCTTAAGGACTGCAGAGATCTGTTTAGAGTTGACTTCGATGCCTCTTTGTGTCACTAAGTAACAGAGAAATTCAACCGACGTGACAGCAAAGGTGCATTTAGTCGTTTGAGCTTCATGCAGTATTTTTGAGGATTTGGAAGCATTCTCGGAGATGTGTGATGTGATTGATGCCTTGTTGGGACTTCATGAGCATATCGTTGATGTATACTTCCATTGTATTGCTGAGCTGGTTGGAAATATCATGTTGACTAATCCCTGATACGTAGCTCCAGCATTCTTTAAACCAAAGGGCATGAATTTGTAACAATATGTGCCCTGATCTGTAATAGAAACAATCTTCTCCCTATCGGAAGAGTGCATCATGATTTAGTTGTATCCTGATAAGGCGTCCATGAATGATAAGAGTTTGTTGCCAGTGGTGGCCTCCACTAGCTGATATGTGTGTGGAAGGGGAAACTGTCCTTCATGCAAGCTTTATTGAGATCGGTGAAATCAACACAGACTCACCTTTTGTCGTTCTTCTTTGGAACGACTACTGGGTTGGCCAACCAGTCAGGATATTTCGCTTTGGCGATTGATCCAGATTTCAAGAGCTTCTCAACTTCGTCATGAATGGTGGTATCGATATTGAGCGTGTGGCTTGTAATCTCTGAGCTGATTCCTTTCATATCGTCCATAAACCACGCAAAGGTCCCTGTATTCTCCTGTAAGAAGGCGATGAGTTAGTCCTTTTTGATGGTTACCAGTTTGCTTCCGATACAGACTCAACGCTCGGGGTGGTTGTCATCAATTCCGACCTGGATAACTAGGTCATTCTTGGGCTTTTCATGGTGGGTGATTCGGGGATCCAGGTCGTTCTCGTTCTCGATCAGGAAGGTTGCAGCGTGGGGGGGGGGGTTAGATGTAATAGTGACGAGACGTGCGCTGATCTCCCTAAACTGTACATACTCCCTTCTTGGTCGGGAATTTGAGGCATTGATGGTAGGAATATGGGATGGCACGCATTTCATTTATCCATGGTGTGCCGAGTATGACATTATAGATGGTTGTTTGTCGATTGGGAGCTTGATTGTCCCAATTGTAGAATAGGAGTCACCGGTGAATCATGTGAGAGGTTTTGGTGCAACCTTGATGTTAGTGTCTTTGATGCCCTTCTTCAACAAGGTTGTTTTGAAAATCAAATCCACTGAGGTCCCTGTATTAATAAGGATCTTGGATATAGCGTATTGGCACAATGAGGCATCGCACTCTGTCGGGGTGAATTGCACAGTACCATGATGATGTTGAATTTCTGAAGATGTTTCTGTGGGTCAGTAACTCCGGTGTAACCGGTCAGGAGATTGAGCTTGCCATGATCTCGCAGAGGAACATTGGTAATACTGGAGGTGAAGGGAGTATGTCGCGTCAGCTGCAAGATTTTTTCGAGTTCGGAAGCAGATGTTATGACGCAGTGGATTTTGGAACCTATGGCATCAATCCTTTGGTGATAAAGGTCGATCTCGGAGATTTGGTTATGATTGACTGGTGGTGGGTAGCCTGGCGTTGTTCTTGAGATCGAGCGTTGGATGCCTCTTGTTGTCGCCTGCAGAGGTAGGTGGTTGGTGTATGACCGAAAAATATTTGGTTGATGCCCGATTTGTTGAGGCCTCTGAGTCGGTCGTGTGGGGATGGCATGTTATCTATGTCTGTGTCGGGGATGTTGGTTTTGCGGGAGTGTCTAACGAGTGTATCGCAGATGACGGTATTCTCGACCTGCATCGCGTCTTGTTGGGACTGCATATCCTGCATGAAGGTGTGCATGTCAACGAGAGATGGAGGTGGTGAATATGCTGGATCTCCGTTCTGTCTCGTGATCAGTGGTATTTGATTATGTACGCCTTCTGCGTCAGTTGGTAAGATCGGTGAAATCAGATCGAGAATTTGCTGCTGACCGGTTGGATTGTTCGGGTTTGCAGTCCCTGGTGGTGG